GAGCTGATATGGCACCCATGTGGTAAAGAGGAGCCTGGTAAGTCTTTCTGTTTTGACAGTGTAAACCAACTCCTAAGGATTACATTTTTTGAATCTGAGAAGGATACAAAGACTCTACATCCACTGTAAGCCATACCCATTGTTCCTGTCTTAGAACAGGTGCTTTTCTGAGTATTTGAATGGATGTCATCCCTCTAGCATGTAATATAAACCTTGTAAAACCAGTCACTGGAATCAGTGTGAGGTGTACATTACCGTACAGCCTTTCCGGCAGGGGGAGCTAATCAACGGAGCCTTTTAAACCTTCTTTTATTCTAAAATACTAGTAATATTGACCTTTTGAGAACTTTTTTAGCTGTGCCCAAAACTGAATACTGTTTACCAGTTAATATCAATATGTGTATTTTGAATTAAATTCAGATTAAATGCTACATCCACAATTTAGGATTGTTTGTGTTAGTATCTTGTTTGTGATAATTCTAGAAGGATAAAGAACAGTTTCACCGTTCAATCATCAATTATTTAAACTCATGTTGATCAAAACCTTAAAGTCCTTCTGTCCAGAATGTTTAGTATTCCACGAAAAGGACTATTGTTTGGTTTCAGATGGCTTAATACTTAATCCTAGAGAAAAAAAAAATAGACATCTTGTGATTTCCTTTTGTGTTCCATTGTTAAAACTAACTTTGTTTAGAACAACAAGGGCAAGCTAGTATTGACACCTTTTCATTTTGGCGTTTTGTTTGGAAAAATCAGACAAATGATTAAATGAGGTCTTTAGTGACGGAGCATAGAACTGCTGTAATGAGTAAGTGCTTAAAGGTTTATCGGAGCTTCACATAACACCTGGGATTATCCAAATGGATATCCAGTAGCTAGAATTTCAAAGATTCCATTAAGTGATTTTTGGGAAAGATTTAAAGATCAGGGTAAAAACTCTTCATAGTCTAGTCTAGTATGCAGTGGACTCAGTGACTCATTTCCTGAGCCTGGGCCAGTGTCGGAGACTCGTAAGTGGTTCATTCATGTCTTTGCATTTGGCAGTTCACTGTGAGACCGGCTGCCCAGAGTGGCTCTCGGTATCCAGGGGGCAATGATTATGTGTTCTGCTGGCCTGTTCCCCAGTCTGAACCTGTAAAACACTGTGTTGAAATTTGCCTTACGATCATCTTCTAAATAAATCCTATCTGGATGAATTGGAAGGAAGAAAAAAAAAATTAAATACAGTACGCCAAGGCATTGTCAGCACCAGGCAGAGCAATGTATTTGTGGCTTTTTTACAAGTCTTCAATTCATTCAACATCTGGAGAAAGGATGATGCTGTGATTGAATATGAGCTTTTGTTTTGTCACGGGTTAGTGATAATGGAGATAGAGTTTCATGTTTTTGTCAGTCCCTCCACGTTTAATTTTCTCTGTAGCTTAATTTTTTTCTGCGTCAGTCTATCAAGCCCTAACTGTACAAATTGTGTGTTTGCATGTCTTTAAAAATACATATGGCAAGTGTTCAGCCAGTGGACCCATTTCACAAGCCTGTTATGACGTGTTTAACAGTCATCAGCATCTTAAAGTCTTAAGTTTTTAATATTTAAAAAAATAATAATTTATGAACATTTATACCTATTTATGTATGTATTATGTTATCTTTGCTTCAAATGACAAGAAATGAATGACCGCTTGTGCAAGGTGTTTATAATGCAGTGTCTATGGGACAGGATAGTAAATTTGACGTTATTCTCCTCTGGCTGCTGTCAACAGTCTCACACATTTTTTTCCCCCGATTTTTATATTACTTTTTAATAATCAAATTTAAAAGTGGAATAATCATATGTTGCGGCTGGAAGGGCATACGCTGCGTAAAAACGTGCTGGATAAGTGGGCGGTTCATTCCGCTGTGACGACCCCGGAGTAATAAAGGGACTAAGCCGACAAGAAAATGAATGAATGAATGAATTATTATATTAAATTTGTCCAGTGGCGAGGCAGTGGCGCAGTAGGTAGTGATGTCATCTCACAGCAAGAAGGTCTCTGGGTCGCTGGTTCAAACCTCGGCTCAGTTGGTGTTTCTGTGTGGAGTTTGCATGTTCTCCCTGCCTTCACATGGGTTTCCTCCGGGTGCTCCGGTTCTCCCCCAGTCCAAAGACATGTGGTACAGGTGAATTGGGTTGGCTAAATTGTCCGTAGTGTATGAGTGTGTGTGTGTGTGTGTGTGAATGTGTGTGTATGCTTCCCAGGTTCATTCCGCTGTGGCAACCCCAGATTAATAAAGGGACTAAGCCGACAAGAAAATGAATGAATGAAATTTGTCCAGTCACTTCATTCATTCATTCATTCATTCATTCATTCATTGTTTTCCTTCAGCTTATTTTTATCAGGGGTCGCCACAACGAAATCACTACCAACTATTCCAGCAGGGGTTTTACTTAGCGGATGGCCTTCCAGCCTATACACCTATACACTCTCGCAGTCAAACACTTCGGCCAATTTCATTTATTCAATTCACTTATAGCGCATGTCTTTGGATTGTGGGGGAAACCAGAGCACCCTGAGGAAACCCATACAGACATGAGGAGAACATACAAACTCCACACAGAAATGCCAACTGGCCCAGCTGACTGAGCCACTGTGCCGCCTGCCGTCTTACAGATTATAATATATACTGTTACACACCTCTCTTCAAAAAGCCTCATGATTTCAGTGAAACTAAGTTTAATACTTATATGATTTCATCAGGTCTTTTTCATGGTCTTTCAAATGTATAATTCTATATTGTGGAAGCTGATCTGAAAGTTTCATTTTATGTCCTGATCTGGCTTTTTCCCAGAATACCATCAAGTGCTTTTCCAGTGTTTTATATACTTTGTCTTTACCTGGTCATTTTTAGACAAGTTGTTAGAAGCTTGCATTCAGATATTTCATGTTGAACGTTTTCCATGAGAAGTACAGACTCTGCTGGTGTTATGTAACTGTGCAGACAAATAGGTCAACTAATATAATGTGTCATGATGGGGTGACAATGCACAAGTCTACATTCATAAATCACAAAGAGACAAAGAAGGAAAAGATGTGGCATAAACAGTGCAAAGCAACACATGTTAACATCTAAGCAGTATTCTGTAAAGCACCTGGTTATAGGGTGCTATTATACATAGCAATGCTACTTATATGCAGATAGGAACTGCGTAACACTGTGACTTCACAATTGCCCTGTCGGGACACTGAGGAAATCACAGAACTACACTACAGAATTTTACACAAATTAGTTTTTTTCGTTTTTTTTTTTTTTTTTACTCTGGCTAAGTCACATATTTGACTTTTAGATGTCAAGCAGTTAGGTGAGTCTGTGTTTCCTTATTGCTTGTGATTCAGGCATGGTGATTAAGGCTGATTAAGCTTATTTAATGTTCCATTCATTTTCTTTTTTTCTGGCCAATCACTAAGAATGTCAACTGTTTTGAAAGTATCAATTAGTTGACGTAATTTAGCTTTGTAATCTTCTTGAAAGTCTTGAAAGCGTGTGTGTTTGAAGGGGGTGGGTGGTTATAAGAGAGAGAGAGAGAGAGGTACTGTAGAGAATGAGGGAATAGAGAACGAAAGCTGCCAAAAGCTTTTAAATAAAGTCCAGCAAGGACTTGTCATTTCCCAGGGCTAATCCGCATGCTTTAGGAAAACTGAATCTATCCTCTAGTGAAGAGTTACATCTCAGTTCTCACCTGTCTGGTAGAGGCGTGTGTTTGTTTCTGAGAACTCTGAGGTTGTGTGAAGCACTTACTAAGATTACAACACTACACTGCATGAAATCGAGAAAGGTTACCATTTCCTTCTATTTTAGCTGGTGTGTCAAATTTAGCATTAAAACCCAGCTTAATTCCTGTTTTTCTTGAATGTCTAGTGTGGCAAAAAAAAAAAAAAACTAAAATAATAATAATTGTCTGGTACATTGCAGTTAAAACAATGCATGACCAAAGTGTACCTTTTCCACCAAAATGCTTTGAGATCTGGAACAATAGTATTTTAGACCTTTTCCAAACTAAAGCCTGTCACGAAGCAGCTGCATATTTCCACAGACTTGAGGAACAATGATGACGTCATGCCATGTTTACCTGACTATAACCAGTCTAAAAACAAACAGTGCACATCCGGGTGTTGGATGCAGGCATTTTGCCACTTCTGTTTATCTAATAACAACACCAGAGGAGATTCTAGCATATCAGCAGCTTGCATAAACTGGTGTTACTCTAATCAGTGACTTTGAAAAGAGATTTTGCAATCTTGGATTAATAATAATATTTTATGAATTATTGTGAATTATTATGTGATATATTAATACTCCTAAACATACCCTTAACGGTAAATTATTACAAAAATCAGTGAGTTAAAATTAATCGACTAATAACAATGATGAAGAAGCACATATACTGTAAATAAACTGTAAACTTATCACATACAGTAAACTTATGCCATAAAGTTGTTTGGAATGTTGTTCTGGGATAAAGGAACATGCTCTACTTGGTGAAATCATACGAGCCAGTACTTTATAGGAATGAAATAGCCCAAATTTGTGAAAGTATTGTGTATTATTAACATACATTCATTGGTTTGCGTCCATCAAGAGCAGCTTATTAGTAAGTTGAGTTAAAGTCAAGACTGAGGCCAGAAGAGGTTCTGAATGATTCAGACAGTGTGTATAATGCATGCTTTTCCTTGAAATGAATAAACATTTCCCAACCCTACCCCCTCCTCTCTCTCTCCAACTTCGCTTCCTTTCTCATTACTGTCCTATCCAATAAAGGCAAAAAGGCCAAAAATATATCTTAAAAAAAGAAAAGGTTGTATCCAAATACAGTAAAAAACAAAGTCAAAATACTATTTCTAAAGGTTTTGGATTCACTGTATATCTGACTTAAACATTTTATCCCAATGAAAAAATGAGTTTCAAAAGATCACATCTTGTTTGCTTATCATGCTAAATATCTCTTTCTGTTTTCCCTTGATGTGTAGGTGGTGCGGGCTCGTCTAGAGGAGCGGGGTGTAAAGGTGCGTGATGTGAAGCTCAATGGCTCTGCTGCAAGTTACGTTCTCCACCAGGACACTGGCCTAGGTTACAAAGACCTGGACCTCATTTTTGGCCTGAGTCTGACTGATGACAAGACTTTTCGTCTGGTGAAAGACGTTGTCCTGGACTGTCTCCTAGAGTTCCTGCCTGCTGGTGTGAGCCGGGACCGCATTACCGCTCTCACCCTGAAGGAAGCATATGTGCAGAAGCTGGTGAAGGTTTGCAATGACACTGACCGCTGGAGCCTCATCTCACTTTCCAACAACACTGGCAAGAATGTTGAGCTGAAGTTTGTGGACTCCCTTCGACGGCAGTTTGAGTTCAGCGTGGACTCATTTCAGATTGGATTGGACTCATTGCTACTTTTTGACCGCTGCTCTGAGACACCAATGTCTGAGAGTTTCCATCCCACTGTGCTCGGAGAGAGCATGTATGGAGACTTTGAAGAAGCGCTGGGACACCTACATGCCAAAATCATTGCTACACACAGCCCGGAAGAAATCCGCGGCGGGGGACTCTTGAAGTACTGCCACCTGTTGGTCAGAGGTTTTCGTCCAGCCTCCGAGGCTCAGATGAAGACACTTCAGCGCTACATGTGCTCTCGCTTCTTTATTGACTTTTCTGACATCAATGAGCAGCAGAGGAAGCTGGAGGCGTACCTGCAGAACCACTTTAATGGGATGGAGCACAAGCGGTATGATTGCCTCGTGACTCTCCATCGCGTGGTAGATGAAAGTACCGTATGTCTCATGGGCCATGAGCGAAGACAGACACTTGCGCTCATCTCCTCTCTTGCGCTACGAGTGTTGGCCGAACAGAATGCAATTCCTGCATTGTCCAATGTAACGTGTTACTACCAACCAGCGCCCTATGTCAGAGACGTCAACTTCAGCAACTATTATGTAGCACATGTGCATTCCCCCATTTCCACCTGTAACAACTCCTATCAGACATGGATGGCTTGTAGCTGAGCAATGAAGGGACAGAAACACTGTTGGGGAATATTTGCAGTCTTCAGAGGGTGTTTGTTTGAAACCATTGGACTTTTCAGAATGAATGTCACTAAAGTCTGCACACATCACATTTCACATCAATTTCAAAAGAAAGAAAGTGTATTTAGATTAAGAAGTTTTCAGTTGACCCTCCCAGGAAACCACTCTTTTACAGTTTTTTGAGTCCATAATTTTGTTGATCTTTTAACTCCATCATATGGGTTGGTTGTTTGATGGACAAAATGACAGATAGCAACATGAACACATACTTTCAGTGCTGTGATTGGTCAAATTGTCTGTCAATCAAATTACATTCAAAGGGTCAGTAACTACTTGTGATTTAATAATAATAATAATAGTAATAATTGAGCGTCCCGGTGGTGCAGTGGGTAACACGATCAACAAGAAGGTCACTGGTTCGAGCCCCAGCTAGGTCAGTTGGCATTTATGTATGAAGTTTGTATGTTCTTCCCAAGCTGGCGTGGGTTACCCCCACAGTCCAAAGACATGCAGTATATGTGAATTGAATAAGCTAAATTAGCCTTAGTGTATATGTGTGTAAATGCAAGAGTGTATGGGTGTTTCCCAGTGTTGGGTTGTGGCTGGAAGGGCATCCGCTGCGTAAAACATATAATAGATAAGTTGGCGATTCATTCCGCTGTGGTGATCCCTGATTAATAAAGGGACTAAGCCAAAAAGGAAATGAATGAATGATGAATAATAATTAAATGCAGTATTGCTTTACAGTATTACAGTTGAAATTGAACGATCTGCTATGTGAATTGGCAAACAAATTCAAGGTACAACAAATACTAAACCTGTATTTAAAGATGTAGATATAGAGTTTAGATATGTTATTATTGTCATAAAAAGAAAACAAAAAATACAAGGACAAAAAAATATTAATGGCCCTGAAATAAGTCTTCATTTTCCTCATGCAAAATAAATAAACATTTTCCTGATTTATTTAAAATATTTATATTTCCCTTTTGATGTTGAGGTGAAATATGAACCAGAAATGTTATATTCGTGAGATTTATCATCCAACTGTAGCAAGTGTTTTGGAAGGAGAGCAAATGTAAGGTATTATGTGTTAATATTGATGCCACCCATCCACTGCTTTTATATTGAACTCTGCTGTACTGGAAGACTCAAACTGACTCAAATCCCTCCAAATCTATTGAAAAGCATTTTGTGAGGATTTAAACCAGTGCAGATGCTATGATAACAATATACGTTGTGGGGAAAAATGGGACAAATGTTTAAAGCACTTCTCTATTTTATATTCACGTGTAACCCTTTTATGTTTTTATAAATGTAATGTTTTTTTTAAGTTATGAAGCACACTTTTTGCTGAAGTTATAGGGAAAAGAGGAAAAAAAACAGTAAAACTGGAATACTGGGTTCGGTTTTAACAGTGGTTTCCTGCTTTCCTTATTTGAAAAACTGAGGACCAAAGACTTTAGATGTAGCAGTTTAAGTGGAATGTTACTTCTGTGACTTTAAGTGCCTGAAACCAACTATAAAACTCAAATGTATGTAAATTAAAATATTCATTGTTTCTCTTGACTACTGTATCAAACAGTGTTTTTATTTGCATTTTCAGGGAATTTTTCATTCAAATCACTCAAAGAAAATGAATAGATGAACAAACAAACTAATTAACTAATAAGCTCCTGTGTGTTCCCTGTATCGCTGTAAATGCATGCAGCTATTCACACAGTGTAAATTTGTTGTGTTGGGTTCAGACTAAATCACTATTTTTAATTTAAAATATTTCTTTAATAACTTCAATGATTAATGCAGCTCTAATGCCTGACTTTGGGAAACAAAAGCATTAAAAAATGTAAAAAATATTAAGTTGACAAATGTGCTGCCATAGCTGCATGATAGCTTTATCTCTCTTTTGTTTTGCCCAAATTGTTGGGTATTGAAGAGGCCAACAGCATCCCAAATCTAACAAAACCATGGCTGACCATTTTTGATCCCGTTCAGCTGATCTTTCAGTCTGACAGGAGCGATTTTAGCTTAGCTTAACATAAATCATTGAATCAGATTACACCATTAACATCTCACAATAATTATTTTAGGCGTAACAATCAAAGGACATTGCTTCCATAGCTTGGCTGCAGCATCCACAATGATATTACCAGCCACAGCCATATCACCCTAAAGCCCAAGACCGGTTTCTCACTGAAGCTTAGCAGGGCTGAGCCTGGTCAGTACCTGGATGGGAGACCACATAGGAAAACTAGGTTGCTGTTGGAAGTTTTGTTAGAGAGGCCAGCAGGGGGTGCTCAACCTGTAAAGTTAAGTAAAAACGCCATATTTTCAGTGGGCGCCATCTTTCACATGAGATGTTAAACTGAGGTCCTGAATCTCTGGTTATAAAAAATCCCATGGCACTTCTCATAAAAGAGTAGGGGTGGAAACCTGGTGTCCTGGCCAAATTCCCTCCATTGTCTCTTATGAACATGGCCTCCCAATCATCCCCATCCACTGAATTGGCTTTATCATTGTTTCTTCTCTCCACCTATAGCTAGAGTATGGTGGGCTCACTGGCGCTGTTGTCCTGTGGCTGCCGTCACATCATCCAAGTGGATGCTGCACACTGTGGGGGTGTGGAGAGACCCCCCTCGTGATTGTGAAATGATTTGGGTGTATGGCCATACACGATACATGCGCGATATAAATACACATCACATTAGAGGTCTGCATTCCTGCGGCTGTCCCGCGGGCGCCTCAGGACCCTATCAGATTTCTGCGGCGCAGGAATAAATTTCCGAATAAATCGCGGGATCGGTCGGTAACGGGTTTAATTTGGGACGGGAACGGGCTGTCTAGCAATATCGCGGATATTGCTATGCGAATGAGAGAGAGAGAGAGAGAGCTTTGCCTGTGTGTGTGCTTGGTGCTTGTGTGTATGTTAGTGTGTGCGCACGCGAATAAGAGAGAGAGAGCTTTTCCAGATAGCAAAATACACTCGGGCCAGTTCCGGCTAGATTCTCGCCTGCTGGAGACTTACCACTCAGCCCGGCTCGGACTCGGGCTGGATGCTTGTGGACTCACTGCCCGAGAGTAATGTGCGCTGTGGTCCGGAGCTGGCGCGACTCAGTATTTATATACCTTTATATAAAACCTTTTGGTATTACATTGGTACTTGATACATGGTATTACAAGCCTTTGAGTTGATATAACAGCAAACGCCTGTGTGTCTGCTTGGTGCTTGTGTGTGTGTTAGTGCGCGCGCGCGCGTATGAGAGAGAGAGAGCTTTGTCTGTGTGTGTGTGCTTGCTGCTGTGTGTGTGTTTATACAGACAGCTTGGCTGTCTGGACTGTATAGCTGGGTATAGATATAGCTGGACTGTATAGCTGTGGTTTTGTTCTCCCCCGCTCTTTAGCGGGATCGGGCGCGGCGGGCAGAAAACGGGGCGGGTCGGGCAGCGGGACAACAAATTGTTAATATAAGCGGGAGCGGTCGGGTTCGGGCTAAAACCTGGCGGGTGCGGGCGGGAGCGGGATTCAAAATTTAGTCCCGCGCAGATCTCTACATCACATTACGCTGCGCTGTTACCTACTCAGCTGCATGGGGGCCTTTTTCAGGTGCCATGAAATATAATTCCTGCTGAACAATCAAGAATTAAAAAGTTAAATAAGAATAATTCCAAACGTGAATGGTATGAAGACCTAAATGGTATGAAGATTGCAAAAATGACATGCAATTTTCATTCATGGTGGAACTTGGAAAAAGTATTGTGGCCATTTGCACTTGTCAAAAATAGCTCACAGTAAATGTGACTCTACACCTGTGATTGCTTTATAGAAAAATCAAATGAGCTAGATGACAACTTACTTGTTTGATGGCAAGATATTAGTACTCTGAAAAAATAATAGCTCTGAGAACATATCTGGAAGCATTTAAGCACAGAGCCACTATTAAATTCTAATAATACAGTGGCATTCAAATATTTTATGTGTCTAGTAAATTTCTAAATGCTTTATGCGGCCACTGTATTGTAGGTCTAAGGGATTGAGTAGGTTTATATCTCTCGATGGCTCCCACAGGGCAGGCTGTGCTTGTGTTGGCTGTGTCGCTCATTGTTGCCTATGAACACAGCTGATGAACAGCTGTTAGGACAGCAGTGAATTTGCTTGCTGAATATAGTTTAGAAACACCCACGCCACATGTTGAACTTTGTGTATATGCTGGAGGCCATCATTCACACACTGGTACCTAATGTACTACCGACTAATAATATCGTTCAGTGTGACAAACAGGAAGCTATGCCATGGGCTGCACACACGTGGACAACACGTGTTCAGCTCAAAATGTATATTTGCAACTTCTTGTAGCCTTTGTAAGAAGGAAACACACTCAACTGTTGCGGATGTACATGTGCAATGTTTCTCAAATCTTGAAAGTAATTTGGAAATAAAATCTGCAGATAAAATTGAACGGTAAAAAACTTCAGTTCAATACACTTCAATTATTTTTTCTTAGCTCATAGCAAAAGTTCAATGCACTTTAAAAAGGCACATTTTAATAATGTAATTTTACTTTTTTTTTTACCTTTATGTATTTTTCCAAAAGCTGTATGGTTTGTGGATAAACTGATAAAATGGGTGTGAAATAACTTTGGAGCAGCTCTGGAGATTAAGTTGTAGTATGCATTAGCTATATTTGAACAGTTTTATTAGTTAAACAACGGTGCCACTGCATCATAATCTGAATAATCAAGAAATGTCTGATTTACTAAATCAAAAATTTATTTATTTGCTTTGTCTAACAGTAGTAGTTGTATTTTAGACTCTACTGAACTACTCTGATTGTCACATTTAATATAATATATTATTATTATTATTATTATATTAATCACCAACATTATTTTCAAAAAAAGTACTAATAGTAAAGTTACAGTAACTTTAATAAAGTCCAACTCATTTTTAGGGAGAATACTCACCCCCTTCGAACGTGCCTACTCTTAGGCTCAGAAGGCTGTTGTCATCCATCCACATGGTTAATCAGCTACTAATAGAGAAGACTCCAGATCTGTTTTTGCATTACTGTGATTGTTGGGTTTAAGGTAGGGGTAAACTTTAATAAAATACAATTAATGGAAAATTTAATCAATAATATAAATAATTATCATGGTTAGCTATTCTAATAGAGAAGACTCCAAATCCAGACCTGTTTTTACATTATGGTGACGGTAGGGTATAGGGTTGGGGATGGGTGGACGTTAATAAAACACAATTAATGGGAAATTTAATAAATAAAATAAATAATTATCGTTAACTTCCAGCCGCAGATGTATGTCATCTATAGCTAATTAATCATGTGGGTGGCTGATAACAGCCTTCTGAGCCTACCAGATGGCTCAAATCGATCAGCTAATAACCGCTGATAAAGCATATTAAATCGAGTGATGACATTGAAATCCTACTAAAATACTACAAGAATGAATTTACAAGTGAAAATAAGCTATATACAGCTATAATAAAATTCAGAGCGTCCTGCTTAATTCTGAATTTTTTTTCTGGCTGGAGGCTGCAGCAGAGTCTGGAAGTTGGGAACTCTATCCTGTCCTACTTTTATCCATTACATTAGTTGTGAATGTCATAGAAAAATAAATAGAGGGGAAGACAGAGTGTGCTAGACAGAAAAAGAAATCTTATTAAAAGTCTTATTTCTCAAACAAGTTAATGATTTCTGGGCAACAAAAGCCATGTCATCTTGACTCACTGTAACAGCACAGCTTGAGCTATAGAACATGGAATTGCAATTAATAGAGAAATAGTAAAAACCTCTTGGAGAGAAAATGATGGCTAGTGGAGCGCCTCGACCACTGGACTGTGACAGATCGTTCCTTGTGATATTAATTTAAGACTCTTATGGGAAACATGAATAAACTCTGCTGTCAGATTGATGTCAGATTCTGACAGCTTTGTATGTGTACCATGAAGCATGGCCCGCTGTGACAAACCTACGATAACGGATTCTCAAATGACAGGATTGAAGTTTATTTTGATTACACAGTCCAAATGTTTCTGTTCAGAACTGTTTATAAGCAATGGAATCATGATGTAAATCATGAAACGGGCTGTTTGTGGAAAAAAAAAAAGCCCTAACGGGAACCAGGCTGAGATGAAGGGCCACATGTCCCGCAGTTCACAATATTGTTGACATGCTGTTTTCTGCAAGTGGTGTAAATGAAAGCTGGCAAAGAAAGAGTGCACAGAGGTTAATATCTGTGCCTGGCGTTCACAAAAGTTATGAAACATTTGCCTTCAGATTTGGCCCATAACACTTTACTTGATGGGGGTGTTTGTAAGACTTTCACACCACCTTTATAATCATAATGTGACATAACTATGAAGATTTCATGAAAGCTTATGACAACTATCTTTGTGTCATTTGCTCAGTTATGTCATTCTAAATGCAAAGATGACACTGTTTCAGATGTCTCTATTATGACATAAACAAATACTTCATAACCTGGGTTTTTCTTTGTCATGACAACTTGACATTACCGTGACAACATAACTTTTT